CCAAATATTTATAATAATATTTATTACATTATTATAATAAAATACGTAATTATATATAATATAATTTATTATCACTATTTGAGTTAAGGGCATATTGATTTTTATATTCATAATTCATTATCTTTTCAAGTCCAACCAAACAATAGAATTCATATTTTCAATAATTTCTTTTTCACCAATCAAACAATAAAATCTATTTTTCCGATAATTTGTTTTCCATAAAATTTAAATGCTATTTTTATTCAAATATTTTCTAGCGAACCAAACAGGCTGTAATAATTATATGCTCAACAATTTCAACCAAACGGTCTCCTAAATGCGAATTAAGGAGGTGCGAAACATATGTTTCATGTACTTCTTTACCCAAAAAAAGAGAAAGAAATGTTTCTTGTACTTCTGACTTGCGTCCTGGCTGACTTTGTACTGTTGTCCTGACTTCCCATGTGCTACTTACATCTCTGCCTCTTCACATGCATTTTTATTGAGTACTGCGGAGTATTTTTTTTTTTTTAATTTTAAAATATAGGCATTAGATAAATTTTGTTCTGTATAATAACTCATAAATTATTTACAAAAAAATGTCTCATTAAGAATATCTTATGTAACAGGCTTAATTGTTTAAGGGGCATAAGATTTTCACTAATGTAATATGATATACATGAGGTAAAATTTCTTTTTGAACATTTCACATTATCTAAGTTTCATATTATCAAACAATAACAATGACTTTGATTCCCCTAATAACAATAACATCCCTAATTGTATTTTTTTTTAACTGACAATTGAAATTCATCCTTACTTATCACAAGATCAATTATTTTCATATGGTCTCCATGTATTCATTGTGGCTGCAAAATTAGTTTCTCCGACCAAATTAGCGGATACGATAATGTTGTATGTGAATCATGATCATGCCCTAAAAGTATATATGGCTTGCAATTTAATATACTCCTGATTCTATACAAGATAGTACTCCGTAATATCTGTTTGTAAATTTTCTTAAATATTTTTAGTCTAAAGAATCTAAGTCCCCAATACCGAGGTTCGAATCCAATTGGAATGATAATCAGGATACTATCACATTACAAGGTAGTTGGCAAATAATAACAATTTTATTATTATTATTATTATTATTATTATTATTATTATTATGATGATGATAAAATTCAACAAAAACATACATACCAAGTGTCCAAATTCAACCAAGTGTACCCATGAGAATCACAACAGTCTGTCCATTTTTGGTTCTTTTGGGGGAAAATCCTTACGAAAATATTTTCCTTTTATCGTGCTGCCGTGCTTTCCCATTATCTTTTTTTGTCGGTATGACTTTTTATCATTCTAAATAAACAAAGAAAATAGAAATTGAGTATGAGTACTAAAAGTTAAGGACTTTGTGGCCTAGTGGCACTAAGTTGCTATCTTATATAAGAGGTTGTGGATTCGATCCTCAGTAAATGTGATGTTTGGTTTGATCTTTATGATAATGAAATAGAATTCTGCAAAATAAGTTATTCTCTTGCAATAAGAATAGTCATTTTCAAGATCACCCTTGGTATTAGATATTCCTAGCCATTTGGAATCATTATTTTTTATTATTCCAAAATACACTTATAAATCCTTCATATAAATACACATATTTCCAAACATCCTTCAAGCTAGTTCATATGAATAATTTCTCATCATTACTAAAGTACAATAATATGTTTCTATGTTTGTTGGTTTGTTTGTTCGTGTTTTTTTTTTTTTTTTTTTTTTTTTTTTTTTTTATAGTTTTGTATGTATGTGTGTGTGTGTGTGTATATATATATATATATATATATATATATATATATATATATATATATATAATTTCTGGGTTTTTTTCTTCCCTCCTTTCTTTTTTCCAGTTCCATATGTTTATATAATTTCTTTTATTGTCTTTATTATCTCCTCATAAATGCACTATTTTTTCATTACATATTTATTTAACCACTTAATATACAATAATTTTTTTGATGATGAAGAAAATCTAAAATCACTACCTTAAGGAATTAAGGATGTGCATTAAATAAATCTTGCATAATATACAATATTTGACTAGTAGAACAATAGAACATATTCTTTGTATATTATTTTCACATGTACATACTCTAAATTATTGATTCACAAGCATGCCACGAGTGACTTTTGTAGTTTTAATTTGTGCAACAACAGATGAAGATCATGAGTCTACTTTGTTGCATCCTACATTCATAATGAAATGGGAAAAAACCAAATGAGGGATGGCTTAAGCTCAATGTGGACTAGGAGGGTGCGTGGCAGTATGGGATTTGGTTGGGTTTTTCGGAAAGATCAAGGTGCTTTCTCATGTCTATGTCTCTTTTGTTAAACTATTTGCAAACTAAAAAATTCTGTTCTTTGTCAGATTGCATAGAGTGGACTTTGTATTATGATATATGTTAGATTGTTAGTAGAGTTATGAATGGGTTTTTTTTTTTTTTTTTCACCCAAAGGGTCAATACCCCACCACTAGGGTTCGATCGTGAGACCTTTCTTCAAGGGGAGCCACAAATGTGCCATCTGCGCACAAGATGCTTGGCCACAAATTTCTTATATAATTTTGGTGTAAAAAAAAAATTAATTCAAAGATTGTATTGACTCACATGTTTAAAATGTCATTATTTTTGTATTGAAATTAGTTGATTTGAAAAAAATTAAAAGTGATAAAAATGATTATATAGATAATTATGAGCCACAAAATAAAAATAAAAATATAATTATATTATAATTGGATAGTTAATCATATCGAATACATTGTAAATGTTGTAAGAAAGATAAATGTATAGATTAAGAAACTAGTTGGGCACTTCACTCGTTTGATCACGTTCATATAGTGTTCTTTTGCAATTTAACTTTTTAATAGAATTATTCCCAAAAAAAAAAAAAAAAAAAAAAAACTTTTTAATAGAAAAAATTGCTATTTAAAGCATCCCTATCTATCTAAAGCATGTCATGTCAGCATGTAATAAAAAATAAAATAAAATACATATAATTATGGGTATTGATTAAGATTATAACTTGATCTCTAGATTAATGATGATACTTTTAATTTGGCATGGCATTGTCCAATCATTATACTGTGGAACCTAGTCTACGTATACAAATTTATTTTTAGTATATTGAATGTTCATTTTTAATAGACTACATATTCATTTTAATGTACAATAGTTTATTTTAATATACTATTTAAAGAATAACCTTTAATACATTAAAAAATAAATTTTCAATATATTAAAACTGTGAGCATATAGCCATTAACGTGTAATCCAACTATTATCTTAAACTTTTAGTTGAGATGGAGTACATGCTTCAATTTGGTATCAGAACTAGACCAAAGGTCATGGGTTCGAGTTCGAATCACCATTGGAACTCACTATCAGCTTAAGCTTTTAGTTGATATGGAAAGGTCATGGGTTCGAGTTCGAATCACCATTGGAACTCACTATCAGCTTAAGCTTTTAGTTGATATAGAGCACGCTTCAATTAAAACAAACATTTATTAGTGGTTCACTTTGTAATAATGTAGACCATGGTAGTATAATTATCGGCATTCTCACACCAATTTTTTTCTCTACTATGTATTACAAGTCCAATCGTTATATCATAGCTAGATTCAGATCCATCTTGCAAGATGGTCATTGTGATTCATGATATCATTTATCTTCCACGCCTGTGTGAGATCGTCTCACGAACTTTTATCCGTGAGACGAGATAGGTCTATATTCAAATGTAATACTTATACTAGCAAATATAATAGTAATTAGGAATAAAGTGTTTGTTACTCATAAAAGAAAACGTAATAGTTTTAAGGACAAATAAGATGTAAAAGTATTACCTTTTTCATCAAAAGTATTATATTTTCTATTATAAGTAATGAATTAGAGTTAATTTCATTTTTACTCCTAGATTTATAGGTGACAATCCACTTTAAGTCCTTTTTTATTAGAACATTCACTTTTGGTCCTAGTATTATTGTGGTATGACCATTTTTAGTCCTTTATCAACAAAACAGTTTAAATATCGTGAAATACAAGGACATTTCGGTCTTCAATTATGAATTTTTTTTAAAAAAATAAACATAAAAAATATAGCGGTTCAACCTACTTTGTATTTTTTTTTTTTTAAAAAGAGAGATTAAAATAGCTTTGTATTTAACAACATTTAAACGATTTTGTTAAAGGATGACTAAATGAGGATGTTCTAAAAAAAAATGACTAAAAGTGGATCGTCACTTATAGAGTTATAGATCTGGGACAAAAAATGAAATTAACTCTAATGAAATACTTATAAGAAAAAATATAAAATATTTGATAAAAAAAAATAATAATTTTACATCAAAATGTAAAAATATTATATTCATTCATAATTTAGCATTAAATTTACTAATATAAGTATGGCATTTTATTTTGAAGTGATTAGTTTCACACAAATTTTTGCCCATAAAATAGAGGATGGGACGAAAGGAATAGTAAAATTTACATTTAAAAAAGAGAAAATATTGGGCAAGCTAAGAAAGCCGAGTTTGCACCGCCACTGTCCGTATAGATAGCAAATGGAAACCAAACGAGAAATGTCAAATCAATTGAGAGCTGTGGCCTGTGGGACTACTAAAATAGTAAAATTGGAAGGATCAATAGGGAGGGGAGATGTATTACAGGGGACCATGTCTCTGTGTGTATATACATACTATATACTATATATATCACCCCCTCTCTCTCCCCACATATATATATATTAAATACATACTATGGTATACAGGTCATTAAGAAATACGTAACCAGCCGCCTAACAGAGTAACAGCAACAGGTACCTATCCACCCATCACATTTTCTTGCACTCTTTCAACAATTTCAGCGAAGCTTCACCCTACACTATCATCATCGTCATCTTTCTTCTCATCTATTGCTATATAAACCCCATCACTCCGACCACACAACTACTAAGAAAAAAAAGGAAGAACATTCTAACCTGAAACATTAAAAAAAAAAAAACAAAAAAAAAAAGGCTCGTTCGATCGTCTGAGCATTTAAGTTTGTATTTCTGAAATGGAGTTCATCACCTCAAGGCAGCTGAAGAATGAGATGATGCTTTCCAAGATCGCCATCAGCGATGGACATGCGGAGAACTCCGCCTACTTTGATGGGTGGAAGGCTTTCGAGAATGACCCTTTTCACCTAACACAAAACCCCCAGGGTGTCATTCAAATGGGTTTAGCAGAAAACCAGGTTTAATTTTAACCAAAACCCATTATATTATTCATGCATGCATGCATGTTAATTACTCGATCACTTTCTCTTTTAGCCTCTTAATTAGCTTGCTCATTTTCTTGTTTTTACAGCTTTGTTTTGATTTGATCCAAGATTGGATAGTGAACAACCCAAAAGCCTCCATTTGTACACCTGAAGGGTCTGAGGATTTTAAAGACATTGCTATCTTTCAAGACTATCATGGCCTCCCAGAATTCAGAAAAGTATGTATATATATATGAATTGAAACACGCACACTACTCAAAGTTATGAGCATTTGAACTTATGAAAACATGATTTTTTTTTTTTGGAAACAACTAACAGGCAGTGGCAAGATTCATGGAGAAAGTGAGGGGAGACAGAGTGTCATTCAATCCAGACCGGATAGTTATGAGTGGGGGAGCAACTGGAGCTCATGAAACGCTGGCGTTTTGTTTGGCTGATCGTGGGGATGCATTTCTGGTCCCAACCCCATATTATCCTGGGTATGTATGTTTTTTTCTTAATCATTTTTTAACTGTCTTGTCCTGTCGGCTAAAAGTTGGGATTTTTTTTTTTTTTTTTTTTGAAATGCAGATTTGACAGAGATTTGAAGTGGAGAACAGGGGCGCAGTTTTTCCCTGTTATCTGCGAGAGTTCAAATGATTTCAAGGTGACGAGAGAGGCTCTGGAAATAGCATATAAAAAAGCTCAAGAACAGAACATCAGAGTCAGAGGATTGCTGATTAATAATCCATCGAATCCGCTAGGCACGGTGTTGGACCGGGAAACCTTAAGAGATGTGGTGTGTTTCATCGCCGACAAGAACATCCACCTAATCTGCGACGAAATCTACGCCGCCACGGTCTTCAACCGCCCAGAATTCATCAGCATTGCCGAGATTATCCAGGAATTCCCAGTCAATCTCGATCTGATTCATATTGTTTATAGCCTCTCAAAGGATCTTGGGTTCCCGGGGTTCAGAGTCGGAATCCTCTACTCCTACAACGACAAAGTGGTAACCTGCGCCCGGAAGATGTCGAGCTTCGGCCTCGTCTCCACCCAGACACAGCACCTGGTCGCGTCCATGCTGTCGGACGAGGTTTTCGTGGAGAAATTCGTGCGGGAGAGCTCGGAGCGGCTCCGCACCCGACACGCCGCGTTTACGCGGGGACTCGCGCAGGTCGGCATAACCACGCTAACCAGCAACGCGGGGCTGTTCGTGTGGATGGATTTGCGGCGGCTTCTCAAGGACCCCAGCTTCGAGGCCGAGCTGGAGCTATGGCGGATCATAATCAATGAAGTCAAGCTCAACGTCTCCAATGGCGACTCGTTCCATTGCTCCGAGCCCGGGTGGTTCCGCGTCTGCTTCGCCAACATGGACGACGCCACCATGCGGGTGGCGCTGCGGAGGATCAGAGCGTTCGTGCTTAAGAAAAAGGGCGTCGAGGCGGCGGCGGCGGCGGCGGTGGCGTCATCGGCGGCGAAGAAGCTTTGCAGGGGGAGATCGCTACAGATCAGTTTATCGTTCAAGAAATTGGACGATTTCATCTCGTCTCCTCACTCCCCTGTTTCTTCGCCAATGTTTCAAGCCGCAAATTAGATCGTTCAACATGCATTAGTACGTACAACGTTGTTTAATAAAAGATCGAGGATTTTAAGGTAAAAAAAAAAAAAAAAAATAAATCCTAAGATTTAGGATTTATAAGTTTTTATTTTTTTTTATTTTCATAGTGATATGAAAATTGCAGTAAATTTGATTTATGCAATGGCCATCTTACCTGTAAGCTTGGGAATTGGGACGGCCATTTGTTGAATTGTTGGTGTGATTGTTTAAAGAAATAATCCACGTTTTAATTTGTTCTTGTGATTATATATATGTATAAATAAACTATTATCAAAGTAGCTATATTTTTACACAATGTGTATCCCGTTCTAGCACACCTCTTATCAAACATTCAAACCTTTATTTTTTTCAATTGAAATTTCTATGCTTAAATAAGTGAATGGTATCATAGAACGATTTACATTATTTTTCGCTCTCCCAAAACACGTACACCATGAATGACAAAAATTTGAAATTAAGAATGTAATGCAGTGAAAATAAAATGATAAGACTTAAAAAAAAATGCCACTGTAATCAAATAGTAAAATTGAAATTAATTAACTCTTACAGATTACAA